GGGTGGTGGGTTCTCGGCGGCAGAGGCCCAACACGTAAGATAACACGTCAGGCAGCTGTAGGAGTGCAGGGGACAAAAAGGAGTCAGGTCTGTGGGTCGTCGAATGGGTGCTACAAAAAAGAAACGCGCTCAGCTGTTCATTCGTCATCTCACAGTGGGGAAAAAAAGAAAAAAAACAACAATCCTAAAACTGCTACTCCGCGTGTTGGGTTGGGGTTTTGCTGGGAGGGTGTGGGAAGCATGACATACGATTATTTTCCACGGGCTCCTGCCATACGCTGGACATTTTACAGACACCACTCTTCTGACCTCAGTCAAGTACTAGGCTGGTGCACTCAGACACGCAAGAACAGACCGGTGAAGACACAACGGACTCACGACTGAAACGCATTGCGCTGAAAGGAAGAAGTTTGACATTACCAGTGTAGCAGTAGCAGGGATCAGCACTTCTCTTTCTTTCTATGAGATGCAGAGTACAGAAGAGCACGTAGGCAGCGTGTAAGAATCAGATCACACAGTAATTCTCCTTGCTTCAGTGATTGCTTTGCTATAGACAGGATTAACAAGTAAAGGTAACATTTCCCCACTAGAAGGAAAAATAAAAAAAAAAAAAAAGGAGGACAGATGCAAAGGGAAGGACAGACAAGAAAAACAGAAAAGCAATTGTCAAGACAGCAGAGAAATAAGACCATTTTCCTACTGCACTTCTGGCAGAATTAATACATTTTCTGCAAATCTCTCCATTCAGCATTCCCACTCACCCTCAAGAGATGCACCTAGTTGGTTTACCAGCACTGACACAACTTTTTAAAGGCATGCAGGAGGAGGGCATTTATTTTGCAAATCAGGAAGTCTCACTTGCTAAGCTACACCCGACTGTAGGACGTAGGTCTATGCATCCAGGGTGCATATATACGTTGTGTACTGGGTGTTACACCCGTTCCAAATTTGCTGAAAGGATCTGAAAAAACATTCGGACAGGTAATTTTTGCAAAGGTTAAATTTTCAGAGCAGGCAGCCAGCCCCAGAGGTCTAGCGCCAGAGAACAGGAACCAGAGAAGAGCAGGAGCCAGAAACGCAGGGCGATGCAAGCCAGCATGCACGGTCACAGCAGCAGCAGGAACTCAACCAGGCTTTTGGGGACTGCCTGCCTTCACGGGGACTGGCGCAGCTCTGCGTGGTCGGGCCCCGTGCTTTCCTTACCCTTGAACTCTACCGCTGCGGAAGCACCAGTCCCAGTTGTGCCTTCGCCGCTTTGCTAGAGACGGCTGCTCGCTCACAAGCAGCACCCCTGAGGTCACCGGCAATTCTTTGAGTCTCCTGAAGAATTAGCCAACGAGCCACGATCGGTAGAAAAAGCAGCAGTTCCAGCCATCGGACCCCCGGGGAACTCGGATTCCCTTTACGTCCTAATTTCTAACCAACGCTGGGAAAATGCAGGTGTGTCGCTTTGCCACCCACACCCCCTGCACCCAAATAATCCGTGGGAACCGTGGTCCAAGTAAGCTGGTAACCCAACACCGGTAACCACACAGGCAAATGCTAAGGCGCAAGGAAACGCGGTCTGAAGGAGCGAGGGCTGGGTTTGATCATCGTGGTCAGTCTTGAAGAGCTGAGCTACCAGCTGGTCTCTGCACGGCAGACGGGCAGTGTCAGCAGGGCATAACCTCAGAGCACAGCTCGTCGCCTTACGTGTTACAGAAAGGCATGTCAGGCTCAGCAGCCGTGGCCTGGTATCCACACACACGTTCAGTGGCAAATCGAGAGTATTTTAGCTTCCGTTCCTCAGGAGCTATCGCTAATTCCCTACAAACCACCCTTCCCCCGGTTCTCTGGGACCCTGGAAATAAGCCAAGTACAAGAAATAACAGCTATGGAGCACCGATCTTCTTTCTAGAAAAAGGTCTCCCCTTATTTCCAACTCTGCATCGAAATCCATCATTTGGGCAATAGTTTTAAACGTTCAAGATGTCTGGTACACCCAAGCACACCTGATCTGAAAACTTAAGGAGTGACATTTCAGGAGACACATGCTTTCTCATTTTCAAAATAATTGAGGTTAAACCAGGACAGAAGTACATATTCAGGAGAGAAGCTGCGCTGCAAGGTCTTCCAGGCAGAAGTCTTTGCTGGAACTGTCAGCACTATCACTGCCCTGTCACGCTGCAACCCAAACAACAGTCCGAACATGTTAAGCTCCTCCACGAGTGGAAAACACCCAGTTGTTTAACCACCACGATGGTGTAAAGTAAGACTGAGATTGTTTGGAGAGAAATGTGCCATCTTCTTTAAACGATAGCTCCGCAGCCATCAAATATAAAGGGAAAAAAACCTGCCACTGTTTTCTGTTCTATTTACCTAAGGACAATCACTCACCCGCTCCACCATGGCAGCTTTGTCCATCCTGACACTTTGTGTGTGTACTACTACTAAAATGAACAGGACTTACTCAAGGAAGTGGGGGAAATCCTACGGTTTTATGGCACACCCAATGTCCAATTAGGTATTAATGCTACCTTCTCACCTTTAAGACCTGGGTATGTAATTCCTGCAGCAGCTGGGAAAAGGGAACGTTTGGACAGATTAGGTCGTGCCAGTAGGATTTTACTCCCCTCTCACCAAGGGGTTTCTTTAAGCAGAAGCTCTTTACTGTTAACTTTGCCTGACTGGGGAAAGGGGATTCCAGGTCTTGAAACAAAAATATCAATGCAGAATTGCTTATCTTCACTTTCACATTCTCTTACTGTGCTACAGCTTTTTTTTCAATTTTTAATTTTTTAAGGAACCTTACCCCTCTCCACCAGCCCACTGGCACTCAGGATAAAGAAACCAGTCCTCTGTTTTAGAGTAGCAGGGGCACACTTACGAGAGTTTCAAAACCCTATGTCTTTAGCATCTTACCTGATTGATAACATACACTCCATAGTCCAGCTGCTGCCTTTGAAGAATTGGGTGTAGGTAATAGAGCCAGTATTTCAGGTGTTCCTCGCGATTCCTGAATGGTATAATAATTGCTACTTTTTGAAGTGCTGTGCAGTCCTTGGGAGCAAAGTGACCTCCTGTTTTCACCTCAGGGTTTGTTCTCGCCACTTCTTCCAGGTTCACAGGCTGGGAAAACTCCACACGTAGCGTGCCAACTGCAAGGAAAGCACAACAGAGAGCAAGTTAGCAAGCACCCAGGGCTGTATGCAATTTATTTCACTGGACATGCCTCCTTTACACGAGGATCAGGTCTTCTACACAGGCTTGGATCCAAACAAAATCCCAGTGGTGCACGGAGGTGCGGAGCTTGGTCCAGCAGCACCCAAAGCAACCACACAAGGGAGAAGGGGGAGAACGTCGTTCATGGGAAACTCACAAGAGCGGGCCGGTATCGGACCCTAACAAAGTCACAGATGTATAATGAGTCTGTAAAACCCTCATGTTTGCATGGTAATCCAACAGCTGCACTGCCATTGGCACACGCAACATGAAACGAGCCCAGCGAAGGGCATGCCCTCTGCGCCCTCTTCCACCTAACGCGACGCAAGAGTCGGGGACTTCAAAAATAGCCCAGCTCTCCTATCAACGTAACTACTTACATCAAGGCTAGCCACATGCAAAGTGAACAAAACCCCCTTTTTGTTACAGATACTTTCAGTGTTCTGTAGGCATACCTATTATTTTTTAAAAAGTCCTGTGATAGAACTGCTAAAAAAAAAAAAAAAGAAGAAAAAGAAATCCAAATTTGC